TTGGGATATAAGTTAGCCAACTAAGGAAGAACATCGTCTCTTAGCATGCTTAAATATTTTCGCTGTCAAATTATATCTAAATATAGGACAATAATGATCCTATAACTGCCCAAACATTCAACTTTTGAGGATACTGAGTGTGTGTCTCACGCATCCAATGAGGATTCTCCGCTGACCAATATCTACAGTTTTGTCAGTTTACCTCTCCGTTCAATGTAAATTTTGATTCATCAGAAAAAAGAATTGTGCCAAGAGCTATTTCATTTGTTAATTTTATCCCTCATTCTTTTGCAGAAATCCATTCTACGATCCGGATCGTCTTCTGTTAGCTCCTACACAAATGTCAATTTATATGGATGAAGTTTTCTTCATGGAGACACCTTACAAAATATTCACTTTCACTTCATTTTCAATGAAGTTCGATTTTCTTTTTAATGGTTTGACATATCCGAGTTCTCTGAATTGTGCATAAATTTTAGACACAGTACCTTGTGAAATATTAGCAACTGAGGATACCTCTGATTAAATAAGTTTACTACTTCAACTTGACTTCTACAATTCTCCCCGTAACCGATCATCATTAAAATCTCAATTCGGTGGGCCTTAGTTAAATATTTCATTTTTATTTCTGCAAGAAATTAGTTTTTAATTAAGAATTTATTATTTATGTAAAATGTCAACAGCATGTCAACTGATTGATAACAATCCGCATTATTTACCGATTTAGTTTAATTAGCAGACTATCTATACAGTTTTTACCTATTCACGACAAAAAATGTTAACACGGTTACTAAACAGAAATTTTCCCCAATACACAGTGTACTGACACTTAGAGTAGAAAAGTTTATTGTCTGTATTTAGCTAATTTAAAATAATACCATAACACGTGATAAATTATTAATTTCAAAATTTCACCTTGTATAATTCATTATAGACCCTACATGATATAGTTCATTGAAATCACGTTGTTAAAAGTATTTTAAAAACATAAAAATATACAGGGTGTTTCATTAAAAATAAGGATTATGGACTATGCCAGACTTGCGTGGATCACCCTGTACATTTAAACTTATGTTTAAAAAGCGAACATTTAAATTTAAAAGTTAACGTGTCCCAGAATTTTTGATTAGTTTTTATAATAAGGACACAAACAATTGTATTCCATTGGTTCAAGTGGTTCAAGTGGTTTCCACACTGTATGAACTTTTGGTAAAATACAAATAATATTTTCAAATGTAACAACATACTTTTCTTTAATATTAGGAAAATAAAATTATTTTCTTTTTTTCCTTAAACAGCTTATAAAATATAAAGTATCATCATTAACCTCGAAAATAACACCAACGAAATATTTTTTGGTTTCATGTTTTGTTCCTTCATCATAAATAAAACTGCAAACAACAAATTTGCTTACGGTCAGGCACTTGGTTAGGTCTCTTATTAATGATATTGGAATATCATCTTCTTCTTCTTCAGTGCCTTATCCGGTCCGGATGTTGGCGATCATCAAGGCTATCATATATTTGTTGACTGCTCTGCGAAACAGCTCCGCTGAGGTCATCCCAAACCATTGTCGGAGATTTTTCAACCACGAGATACGACGCGTCCGGTCCCTTCTGCCAATACTTTACCTGCATAACGAGTTGAAGAATTCGATATTTTCTTCGTTCGCATCACGTGGCCGAGGTACTCAAGCTTACGTTGTTTAATTAAAGTAAGCACTTCTTTTTCTTTTGTCATGCGTGTAGGACCTCAACGTTGGTGACATGGTCCACATAAGATATTTTTAGTATCCTTCTGTATATCAACATCTCGAAGGCTTCGATTTGCTTTTCAGTGGCTTGCGTCAGTGTCCAGGTTTCAACTCCATATAGTAACACTGGAAGAACGTAGCACCTCACTATCCCATTTTCTAATGGGATAATGAGGTAATTATCTAAATTTGTACGGCTGACAACCATGAATTTAGTTTTCTTAATATTGAGGTTCAGTCCGTATATTACGCTCACAGTTCGCACTCGATCTAGTAAGGCCTGCAGATCGTTTAGGCTGGTTGCTAGTAACACAGTGTCATCGGCGTAGTGGATATTATTGATGTATTCACCGTTCACTCGGATTCCCATGTCTAGGTTTGTGAGGGCTTCATTAAAAATCTCCTCAGAGTATATATTAAAAAGAGTCGGCGATAGCACACATCCTTGCCTTACTCCTCGCATGATCTTCACTTGGTCGGTCAGCTGGTCTTCGACCTTGACTTGAGCACGCTAGTTCCAGTATAAATTCATGATGATCCGAATGTCCTTCTCATCCAATCCTACTCTTTGTAGTGCGGTGACCATCTTCTGGTGCTGACAACGGTCAAATGCCTTGGCGTAGTCAATAAAACAAATATAGACATCACAACTGACATCGCGGCATCTCTGAAGTAGGACTTGTAAGATGAAAAGTGCTTCACGTGTACCCATGGAATTGCGGAATCCGAATTGCATTTCACCGACATTTTCTTCGCATTTCTTGTAAATATCATCTGCCTAGTCAAATAGCTCAACTGTATTTTTTCGTGTAGCGGAATATGATTTACTTCTCCAATAGTTGCTTGCTCTTCATTTTCTACTGGTAGCGCATTCGACTCAAAAACGTTAACTTCTTTGCAGTTAAAACATAATACAACCAAATCCGCAATTTTTGCAAAAACATGAGATTCTCGAATGTAGAGCTTTTGCTTCTAGCCAACTGACAAAACTTGATGAACTTTCATTATTCCTGGAATTTTCATTATTTGGTTCAGACATTTTTTGTGTTTTATAGATGTTATGTCATCATCAGTAATTAAAAACATTTTTATGGCTTTGGTTTGGTCTTGTACCAGTTAAACGAAAGCCTTAGCATCCCCCACATAGTATCCCCTAACAACAAAATTATCTGCAATCGTTTTTACAGTAGCACCGATTCCATCTGGCGCTCCTTTTCCATGGACAGCTACTGAAAAATTCCAAGTACCACACCTGAATCCAAATTTATAAAATAGAGTATTAAAGAAAAAAAAATTGTCTTTGTTTTTATATTGCGATGTTGGTCTGTCACTAAAGAAATGAACAACATCAATATTTTCTGTTCTGCGTTCTAATAAAATTGGCATCAGATGGGCCCACACTGCTGACTGATCATGTCTTCTCGAATCAGATACTGTGCAGTAAGACTGGTGTTCTTCATTTTCCCGAAAGACGACTACTGTATGCAAGGAAGCTTGATTATGAGAGGCACCAAAATGCATAACTTGAATTTCTGTACCCATTTTACACAAGTAATTTTCTGAAAAATCAATATGGACGACAACTTCGTCGTAGGATAATTCTGATTTGCATATTTTTTTGACTGGTTAAATTGATGCCTGATTCGAAATACGTATGGACAGAATTGTTCGATAATTGTTGTTAAAATCTTCAATTAAATCGAATAAGCTTGCCTCTTCTTTAACTTTAACTTTCTTTAAAAAATTGTAATGTTTTGCCATTTTTTTTCTATTATATTTCTTTCGGATATCCAAGCAAACCATGTAACTTGCTTGGATGAATATTTATCGTAGCTAACCACTTTTTTATCCTTACAAATTGGACATTTATAAACCATACATAATAACGAGTTCACATGACATTTGACAGTTTCACAGAGCCCTTCTAATTCCACTACACCAAAACCTTTTTCTCTAGTTAAAGTGTTCAGTTGTTTTGTAGATCGTCATGTTTTTTACAAAACATGAGTCACGTTCTGATAATTTTGGTTGCACCATCCAAAAAAGACGTTGCTTTTTGCACATTTTATGTAGGAACTTTTTTCTGGATACCTTCAATGTCCCGTAGATCTCGGTTTTATTGCAAATAAGTATATTAGCAAGTTGTGATGAATTACAAAAATTGCCTATAGTCAAATAGTATCCTTTATTGAGTAATGGCTTTGACATAGTCATGACTACTTGAGCTGAAACTGGAAGATCTACGTAATCTGGATCAAGATTGGTTTATCTTCCTGTGTAATGAGAAAATTCCACACGTAACCACTAATTAATTCACACAATAGATAGGTTTTTATTCAAAAGCTGGCTCATTTTATTGAAATATACAGGATTCATCCAAGCCGACTTTTGTCTTTGTTTTTCAGGTGTCACTGCTTTACGAAACGTGGCACATAATTTGTGGTACACTGGCCAAATTTTGTTCAGCCTAGGATTAGGATGTGTTGCGGCGTCAAATTTCATATTGTTGAAATGAAGGTTTTGGTTTATCGTTTCAAACGTTTATTACTTAAACACTTGGAAAAGGTACATCATGGATTCTGCCAAGTGATCTTCAAGAGCTCAAAATAACTCAAGCCAGTGCCACCGAAGTTACCGGATACCAACTATTGTCTCTATTGTTTTAATCCGCATATCAATCAATTTCTTCTACAATGGAATTCATTAGGTTATCATCCAAGAAATGTTAAAAAAAATGGGCGTGCAGAAGCATTTGGCTGTAATTTGTACGATGTTCGTGTCATAGTCCTGAACCATTTTCGTCCATATTAGCTTCGACATCAGATACATCTTAACTTAAAAAATACTGATCACTACTCATTTTGCAGTAAATAAAAGAATTAAAAAACTATAAAAAAACTAACGCACTGCAAGAGAGGAATAAAAAATATGCCACTTACATCTGCCTTACCCAAACGCACTAAACTTGACTAAACTTGGCCTGGACTAAACATTCCAGCCGGCTGCAGATAGTAGGAAGTTTAAAATTAGAAACGAGAAAACAGTGTAAAGAACCGTTATTTAGTTCAGGACGAGTTAAAACGCGTAAGCGCCCTATATATCGTACAAATATGTTAAGCACGAGATAACTCGATTATGCGACAATAGAAACGTAGTTTAATACCGAGTTAACTCGAGTGAGTACGTTAAGCGGTTAAAAAGATTTTAGTTTTTATAAATAACCTAATCGTTTTTTTTTTATTTTTAGGTGGTTCGACATGGTCAAAGGACACCTGTAAGATTTTTTCCAACCAACAAATATTCTGATAGATCCTATTGGGGAAATCTTGGATCAGGAGCGTTAACAAATGTAAGGTATTTAACATATTTTCTCGCTCAGCCTTCTCTCATACATGTGGTTTAGATAAATGTACAGTTTGGACACTAATTATTTGGTATAAATATATATTTTGGACATCTATCGATTTCATTACGTTGAAATTAACTCAAATCTGACGCACTTACAATCTGATTTTAATACTTGACATTGTTTATTTAATTTTTTAAGTACGTCGTGAATTCGTTTGTATTCCTAACGTTTTTTTTACCTTGTTTTGATATATTTGTCCATAACATTACATTTCACAGGTTAGTCACTCTTATCAAACATAATAACAACGTAATAAATCACGTTTTCTCGAATAATCCTCGCAGTAAACAGAACAAAAGTCGGTTGTAGTCAACACATTTAACCTCTGAACATTTAAATATGCACGAAAATATAATGTGCAAACCAATGTTAACCGTGTCGCTTCTATTAACACTCCGCATTGTTTCCACGCAGCGTCAGGACATACATATTTTTCTTTTGTGCTCTGTATAACAAATATTAATTTCTGACTAATATCTTTCTGTAATGTGATATTTATTATTATTGATTTACTGTTGGAAGTGCATTCTTGGATCTTTTAGTTCTTTTCCACACTATGTGTTTTTTATATATGATAAGTTTTTACCTATAATTTTTTTTACATACATGTACAACTACCACATGTTTTTTGCTGTGCTAATTCTATGAAAATTGTTAACTATATTTAGTTCAATTCATTGTTTATACAACATAATTATACAATGTCCATTGTCGTAAGCTACTTTACAATGGTTAATATCACTGACTGCTACATCTTTTTGTGGAAACATACTTCATAAATGTTCACTGGATGTTAGGTTTTTCATATTGTTCTTTTTAGATGAACTGATGATGCTATCAAATTGGATAGCGAAACATGTTCAATAAATAGATAAAGTAGCCATCATCTTTGTCTTTTTTCTCCAATTGTTTACCGAAAAAACCCGCCAGTCTTCGAGTGATTCTATATATATATATATATATATATATATATATATATATATATATATATATATATATATATATATAATGAATAAGTTCCAAAAGAAATAAATCTTTTGGTCAACGAGGATATCGGTCAAAGGAGAAATAATAAAAGGAAATCACAGTTCCATTCCTATATTTGAAGACGTTTCGCTTATTGAATTTACAAGCTTCATCAGTTCAATCTAAAAAATTACAAAGGTGGTAGGCAATAATATAAAAACATGGAAAAAGAACTTACGAATGGTGAGTGAAGAATAATAAGGTGTAAAACAAACACACCATTCTCTTGGTAACCGTGGTCAAAATAATAAAATGTTGGTGTTTAAATAGTAGCTTGACTGTTTCTATGTAGTAGTATTCATGTATAACAATGCGAAAAAGTTTTATTTAAACGTGAAAGAATGAATAAAAACTACTACAAAGCTCTATAAAAACTCGTCATATTGCACGTAAAAAAAATAACTTATAACAGTAAAGTGTAGATATAAAATTCAAAAATTGACTAAACACACTGACACAGAGCTATTGTTATAACAAAGTTAACATTAAAAAAGATTTTGTACTTTACTTTAGGGCGCATTTCAAATTACAGGATTCTAACCCGAAAACGAATGTCAAATTGCCGGCATTTACAATGAAGTCAAAGTGTGTCTTTCATCGTTGTGAGTTGATCCAACTTTTGGGGAGTATGAGACGAGCAGGCGCAATACACCAGAACGCAAACCTACAACGCAGAGGACACTGAAGTAAATAGAAATATTAAGTGGAACTGTCTACAAAACCAATATGTAGTGAAGAAAGGTTGGAATCTGAAATTTATTATGGCGATTAGTCATGGAAGGAAAATATAGATTGTCAAATAAGAGAAAGGTTTAGATGTAAATTAGGAATAAATCAGTATAAATGTATAAGGTTGGATATAAGTTTAAGTACTAGTGGGAAATAGAGAGAAGGTTGATAGGTAGCTGGGATGTGATAATAAATGATCAAAGGAAACGGAAATGAAACAGTCTGGATGACAGGAGAAAGTCGAAGAATTCCTCATTGGATATTGGAGAGAAGAGAATGGTATAATAAACTGAGGTTGTCGATGTCGGTACGTTTATTCATGGTGGAGGGATTGAGGAAAATGTGGCACATTTCAAGGAAGCTTCTCTTGAAATGGTTGCTTTCTGTGCAGAGAATTTTGACATGTTCATAATCTGGTCGGTGGTCAGACGTAAGAATGTGTTGTGCTAAGGCACTGGAATGTTTATGGCATCTAATATCACTCTTGTGAGAAGTTAGTCGACCTTTAAGGGATCTACGAGTCTGACCAATGTAACATAGGTTACAATCCATACAGGGGATGTTGTAAACCACATTGATCTTTTCCAACGGGTTTAAAGGGGTTTTAGTTTTAGAGAAAAGTTTACCAACTGATCTGACATTTTTAACTCCAATTTTAATATTGGTGTAGATGTTAGGAGTTTTGCGAGCTTCTCAGTCAGATGAGGGAAATAAGAGAGAGAAGAGTAGTAACGTGAAGGGGAAGAAGGAACGTTATAAATATAGCTATGATGGCAACCAACATTTTGAAAGGATATGGTATATGAAGAACAAGTCTAAAATATGGCCCAGCATTTCGTTATCGAAAAACAACTCAAGTAAATTTATAAGGTTTATATTTTCAAATTGTGAGTAGTCTGTTTTAAGAAAGTCAGACGAAAGTCTCCTGATGCACCATCAAAATGACCCAGCTCGACATCTGCTAATTATTGTCTTCGGGACATGTTATCTACAAATCTACATTTATCTTCGTCAGACGAATCTTCATCAGTCAAAACATTTGGACCAGGTGAACTTATATATATATATATATATATATATAGATATATATATATATATTATATATATATATATATATATATATATATATATATATATATATATAATTCTTTGGAGGATAACTTTTGGGAAAGCGTCAAAACAAGGATCAGCTAGAGATGGTATAAGCGAGTTTGGTGTAGAACTTTATTCTAAATGTGAAATTTTCGGTGATATGTTGTCACCTTCATCAGCACCTAAATGGAAAACCTATTTTAGTACAAGTGGTGGAAATTAACATATAAAACCTACATTGAAAATGTTCAGTTGGTCCTAGAGGTGAAGAACACTGTCACAAACATGTTAAAAATATTAAAAAATACATTTAAAATTTTGAATAAAAACATTACAACACAACAGGGTATTATTTAAAATACAAACACAACAAAAATCTAAAAATTACAACCTACACAAAAACTGCAACTTCATGTTAAAGGTAGAAAAGAAGAATTATTCTTCTTTTTTGATGACATATTTCTGACTTCTGTCAATATCCGGGTGACATATGCAAGGAGGTTATAATTTTCACGTTAGAACCTCATGGATATGGAAAGAATTGTATTCTTAGCGTCGTTATACAAACTCTATATATATATATATATATATATATATATATATATATATATATATATATATATATATATTTATATATATATATATATATATATATATATATATTTATATATATATATATATATATATATATATATATATATATATATATATATATATATATATATGCCGGTTAGATTATTATCATCGTTATAAACCATATTGAGGGCTTCCTGGAGCTCCAAACCTCTCCTGTACATATAAAAAATTAATTGCATCTCTTATGTACCTAGTGTGACCATTTGGTAACAGTCTGATTCAGTCATATGTAAATTTTATGTTAATGGGTGAGTTTTCCTGTAATATTTTTTATGTTATAACCTACTTCCTTAACTATATCAATAATTATTTAAATTTGCAGAAAGTCTTAATAGTAAACTGATAAAACTACTTACTCAAATCTCGGTTCCATAATTTGCACATTTGTTAATACGCATGAATTCACAAAGCTATACTATTCTTTCCTTCCAAACTGTTGAATGTAATACAGTAACAAATTGAATACATTGACATCTAGTAACGAAAAGTTGAACTGCGACTGCGGATAGATTTCTAGCGTTAAGTTGAGCTATAATAATCATTAATTGATGGCGTGTTTGCGTAACCAAGTAGTCACACAAGGCGTTAACGGGTTAAGCACTTTTTGACAATTTTGCCTTTTTTTCCTGATTATGTTTTTTTTATCTCATATTGTCACCAATACGGTTTTTTTATATGATAGATTTAATTAAATACATGGGATTTACATAAATTTTTTAACTACTTTTTTAGGAAGGTAAGCGCCAACATTTTGCTTTGGGTCAATACACAAGAAGAAGATATCCAAATTTTCTTCCCTTGAAATATAACGCATCAAGTTTCCTCGCTTATACAACAGATGTTGAACGCACCCATATGTCGGCACAAAGCAATGTATATTCCCTCTTTCCAGCTACTGATGAGCAGGTGTGGCATAGAAACGTGAATTGGCAGCCAATTCCCATTCACCCAATAAGCATTGATGAGTTTTGGGGAGACTCGTCGTGTGCTAACTTTTATAAATTAAGAACTGAAGCTTTAAATGATGAATTGTCCCAATCTATCAACGAAGAATATGCAGAAGTATACAAATATATTAATAAGTATAGTGGATTAGATATTAGAAGTTATTATCAAATTCACACCGTTTTTGACGATTTTAAGATTCAAGAGGACGTAGGACTACCTCTCCCAGATTGGGCTAAAGCTGTTTACCCAGAACCTATAACTTCTATTGCTGGGTGGTTTTTTGAGGTCTTTTCTAGGACAATACAAATGAAGAGACTAAGTAAGTGATTTAATTATTTTTATTTAAGATACATCTGTTAGGATAAAACATGTTTTTTACAATAATCCAAAAGTTTCCTTCTGCTCCTGACTGCCTTCTCTGTTAAGGTTGGCCATTTAAATGGCAAATTTCTTTCTGTTCTGGGCTTAATGAATTAATTTATTTCCTCTTGTGTGGCTCGAATCTCTGACGTTTCGTAGCCAAGATTTTTTCTTTCTTCCTGTGCTTCTTTTACCTTCAATCTTGCCTTCTAATATTACCTGGAGCTGCTCAAATTCCCAATGGCACATTATGTGTCCTAGATATAACGTCTTTCTAATTTTGATAGTATTGACCAGATGAGGGCATGAGTTTTATACTCTCAGTACTTCTTGATTCGTAGTTCTGCTGGTCCAGCTTATTGTTAACATTCGGCGGTACATCCACATTTTAAATGAATTTAGTTTGTTGACGTTATACTGTTTTTATGTCCAGGTCTCACAGCCATATAGTAATAGAGACCACACATAACACTTTAGTGTTCTCAATTTTATTGAGGTTGATAGCTTGGGGTTACGGGCATTTAATGCATATTTATTAAACCAGATCTTGCATTTCAATGCTTCTTCTAATCTCTTTTGAGTGGTCTAGTTGACTATTTAGCTCTCTACCTAATTATATGAAGCTTTGGAAACTCTGAAGGGTGATACCATTTATTTTTATGTTAGGTGTAACTTGTTCATGACGGTTTTTGTAGAATACCAGAATTTTGGTTTTGGAAAAGTTAATGTCCGAGCCCAGCCTGTGACTTTCTTCTGATAATATGTTCATTAATATTTTTAGGTGGTCTTCTGTTTCTGCTAATACTTCGGTGTCATCGGCATATCTTATATTAACTTTGAAAAATTAAATGCGGATATCGAGCACAATTTTATCTATCAAATCTTGCCCAAGTACTTTCGTTGAATAACTTCGATAAAAAAATCGAAGTTAATGGATAATAGAAGTTTTTTGTGATTAACGTTTTAGACTTACTTCGCCAAATTTTTTGCTATCCAGTAAGCGCAGAATATAATAAACATGAAAATAAAACATACATTCATGTTTATTACATTCTGCGCTTGCTGGATAGCCCAAATTTGACGAAGTGAGTCTAAAACTTTAATCACAAAAAACTTTTATCATCCATTAACTTCGACTTTTTTATAGAAGTTAATCAATTTTCTTTATTAAAAAAAAAACGTTTCTTGGCTTATTTTAGATGCCCCTGATGATGCTTTAGGAAGTGAAAGTACTTGGGCAAGATTTAATGAATAAAATTGTGCTCGATATCTGCCTTTAATTTTTCAAAGTTAATTTATTCGAGCATTCAACCTTATATCAATATCCTGTATTGTTAATGATTATTCCATTTACTCTGGCACTTTTACCTACATTTCAATGCTTCTTCTAATCTCTTTTGAGTGGTCTAGTTGACTATTTAGCTCTCTACCCAGTTATATGAAGCTTTGACAACTCTGAAGGGCGATACCATTTATTTGTATGTTAGGTGTAACTTGTTCATGACGGTTTTTGTAGAATACCAGAATTTTGGTTTTGGAAAAGTTAATGTCCGAGCCCAGCCTGTGACTTTCTTCTGATACTATGTTCATTTATATTTTTAGGCGGTCTTCTGTATCTGCTTATACTTCGGTGTCATCGGCATATCTTATATTCACTTTGAAAAATTAAATGCAGATATCGAGCACAATTTTATCTATCAAATCTTGCCCAAGTACTTTCGTTGATTAACTTCGATAAAAAACTTGAAGTTAATGGATGATAGAAGTTTTTTGTGTTTTTTACTTTCATCTACAATAATAGTGGGGACAAAATGCACCCTTGACGCACTCCTCGTTCTATGTTGATGTACTTGGTGTTTCCGTTCTCTATTCGAACGCATCCTGTGTGGTTCCATTATGTATTACTTATGATAGCTATGTCGTGCCCATCCAACTCTACTTCTTTTAGCACCTCAATAAATTTTTCGTGTTTTATGCGGTCGAAGGCCTTTCTGTTATCGACAAAGCACACATAGAGCCGTTTTTAAACCTCAAGATACCTTTTTGCCATCAGTGTCAATCCCATAATTGCTTGTCTAGTGCCTGTACCCTTTCTAAAACCATATTGAGAATGACTCAGGTATTTTTCACACTTTTATTGTAAATTCGGTTACAAGTTTTTGGACAATCGCCACATTTAAGTTTGTACACACCACTGTGTAAGTGTTTTTTATTTTGGCTCTTGTTTATTTGTTCGGAAAGCCGGTGTTATTCCTTTCTTTTTTATGTGTTTGGCTATTTTTCTTGATATTTTGCCTGTATATGTAATCGAGCAGAAGGTACTGGGTTTTTCCTCTGGTGGTGGAAAAACTTACATTGGTCAAACTGGTAGAAACTTTAATAAACGAACAGCAGAGCATAAAAGGGCTTTCAATTATAGAAAAACAGATTCTACATACGCACTTCACCTTTTAGATCACAATCATTCTTTTAATGACGAATTTAAAATTCTTCACCTTTAAAATAAAGGCCTTACGCTATCCTTGCTAGAATCTATAAAAATCAACCAATTAAAAAACACAGATATAATTCTGAACTTGAGACAAACAGTTCTCCCTTCCTCAACCTATTTCATTAGAGGCTATAAAGTGTAAACGCATGCCAAGAATAGATCACTTGAGAAAGGCAATCAGCCGAAACAGCTGTAGTGATAAGAGGTTAAAATAAATTTTGTGGAAGTTTGAAAACAAAGTTTTTAGTGTTTTAGTGTTACATAAAATGAATTTCCATAAAGTAACGGTCGAATCCATCGATTACCTTTCAGACGTGCAGCGTGATAAATCACTCCTATTAGTGTCTGCACTTTATATAGTCGCCTGAGTGCATATTCAGAGGAGCTTCTTGGCGAATATCATAATAAGTGGTTTTAGGCCTGGTCGATCAATAACAGACCAGATCTTTGTGCTAAGACAAATACTGGAAAAAACCAATGAATTGAATATCGACACATACCATCTTTTAGTAGATTTTAAATCGGCCTACGATAGTGTCCTAAGAAATAAATTGTATGAAGCCATGGATGAATTTCACATCCCCGATAAACTGATAAGATTGGTTAACGATACAAGGCGTAAAGTTGTTTGCAAAGTCGAAATACAGGGCGAACAATCACAGGCGTTTGAAACGCATATTGGGCTGCGACAGGGAGATGCGCTGGCGTGTCTCCTTTTCAACATAGTTCTGGAAAAGGCGGTCAGGGAGGCCCGAATAGACAACAGAGGAAACATTTTTAATAAATCATCCCAAATTTTGGCATATGCAGATGATGTTGACCTAGTTGCCCGCACAACACGCAAACTAGAAGAAATGTCTACCACCTTGTCAATTGCCTCAAAAAATATGGGACTGCAAGTAAATGAGGAGAAAACTAAGATAATGGCATCAACACCCAATAATAGAGCCAGAAACATCGGCCACCAATTCACTGTTGATAACTCTACCTTTAAAGTGGTGGACAAATTCACATACTCAGACTCCCTCATCACCAAGGAGAACGTCATGACGGAAGAAATCAAGCGAATAATAATCCTAGCAAACAAATGCTATTTTGGATTGAGTAGACATATAAGAAGCAGAAACTAAGCCAAACAACAAAAATAATCATATACAAAACCCTTATACAACCAGTGTTGACATATGTATCGGAGATATGGACCATTTCCAAGGCAGATTAAAACCTCCTACTTATATTTGAACGTAGGATTTCGAGAAGAATATTTGAGATGGCATCTGTAAAATGGTGTTTGCAGAAGGAGGTACAACTATGAGATATATCACAGATATAAATATATATTTGGTGGTAAATACGTAGTATCTCTTATGAAAATAGGAAGACTAAGATGAACAGGACATCTGGCAAGATCACAGCAGAACAACCCTCCTAAAAGAATCCTTATTTCACAACTTGTGGGAAGTAGAAGTAGTGGTAGGCCAAAACTCAGATGGAGAAATGGTGTACATGAGGATGGTAGAAAAATAGGCGCAGCAATTGCCAACAGTTGGCAATGTATAGAACTGACTGGCGTAATAGACTTGGGAAAGTCGAGGCTCCTTTATAGGGCTGTAGCACCAATTATGATGATTAGTCCTTGCATTTCTAATATGTGTGTAGCATCCCGATCACGAAGAAAATTATTTCCTATTGAGTCTATATATTTGTTCGTACTGTCCACAATCATTTCTAACATAGCGGTATGCATAAAATATTTCCAAATATTACTGTGAGTCTTCAAATCACGTGTAGGTAATCTTGACATCGGCAAGCGTACTATGTAATTTTCTTATCTTGTTTTAACATTTCTCGGTGGAACAGCCTTTTTACATATGGAAAATCCATCTTCTCCAATAAACGCCAATAAAAGTTATTACTTCCACTTTCTTCTTCGTCGTCTATCACATTTTGTTTCTATTTACTTCCGCCATCACATTCCTTAATTTTATCGATTTCGTTTTCATTTCCCTAATTGCTAAAATATATATTTTTTAAATATATTAAACAACATTAAGTTATAACCATAAAGGTAAAAAAGCCAATTATCAAAAAAATGTATTGTAATGCAATGTTTATTGTTGGATACTGTGTTTTTCATTGGGGCTGCCGTACATTTTGGCTGGGGCAGGGGGTGAGAAATCTAAGCAACCTAAGCAAAAATTGGCGGTATAGTTTCTAAAGGTGTTACTGCATATTGTAGCATTCATTTATATGTGATTCATGCTGGGTCGAATGACCCATTAAAATTACATACTTATTATATTTAGGATCCTCCAATTCTACTCTCAGAAACGTAATGTTAAAAACTAGTTTGATATACGCAGCTTTATGTTTTCTTTAATGGTACTCTTAGCTTTGGTATTTACGTCACCTTTACGTAAATTTTGTCAGACGTTAGCTACAAGTTATCGTTGGGCAAACGTAATAAA